TGCAACTTTGCCCAATAAAGGTTTTTCTTTATCTCATCATATTCATAAACTATATTTTGTATATCACTTTTAGGTGGGTTAATCGTTCAATTGCTTGTACCATAAGAAGGGATTACTGAGAAACTTTTGTGAAGACTCTCAACTGATATATTCAATCATTTCAGAGTTATGCATTCGATGGTTGTTTTGGTGTATTTCAGATGTTTTTGTATCGCTTGATGAAACTTCTTATACACACTTAGAAAAATTCATGTAAATTTAGGTGTGAGACTGACATATACGAGCGTCAATTTTGACATAAAATTGAGTAGTAATAGACGCGAAACTCAGCTCAATCAAACGCACTTTTCGTCGAGTACCGAACTTTTCAGTCTCGGAGCACTTAATTTTACATGACATGCTTGTTTGCGTCTCATCCTGTATGTCAAAGAAGGATTCCGTCACGTGTGAGATTAGGTATTTCTAAGTGTGTAGGATTCACGGTAGCGTCAAGAACCAATGACCGTACTATCGATTGGTCATACGCGGATGGGTGGATCTCTTCGGCAAACCATGATGATAGTTACGTATGAACGATGCTTAAAATCATGCTGACATCAACGCCGCTCATATCACTGACAGCAGCTTCAAGAACCTATGACCGTGCCAGAGGATTGGTTTCAATATCCTTGGTAAAGTAAAGAAAGCTTGAAAACCAGCACAGTTTTGATGACTAAGCTGGGATTACAATTACAATAAAATATACTCTTGCAACACAAGCATGACAACAAACTTGTTTAGAGTCATGGAGGCTCTAGCACTCCTCACTCAGTGTTGTTGACGGGATTCACCTGAAGAAGAATAGTTCAATGCCTGTGGGGTTAAATTTATTTTTATATGAGTACTTGAATGCTTTGGTAAACAATGATTCGGCTATTTTACAGTTTGTTCGAAATTTTCATTTCCTATAAAAAAAATCAAATCTCACAGTCAACGCATTTTCCAAGATAATCGGCTGCCTTTGCTTCCAACACTTGCAAAACAAGCTATCAAAGTACAGTACCAAACTAAAATGTCATCTGAAAGTCTCTATCATATGACACTGGTGCCGAAGACCGACACTTGTTTATGTATTTTAGTTTTGCTCATAGTAAAAGCTGAGAATGTTGTGAAAATAGCAATCAACGATGTCTTATTTAAATTTCTGATCAGAAATGGATAAATTTGTACAAAATTAAAGAATAAGATCAAAATCAAACGTTGTCATATGACAGTTATTTCAACCTGAACATTGTATTAGGTTCTAAGTACCATTGACAAATTCTCTTCTTCGACTTTATCTTTGCATTCTCACTACCATGTTAAGACAATCCCAGCTCTTTTCAGCACACAGATCGATAAAAGAAGCTATTATATAGCTTCTAATACGACAAACACGACAAGACCCAAGTAACCACCAAGCCCACTTACCCGATAATTGCCCTTTTTTTGCGAAATAAGGAAAATTTAAGATTTCCGAACTTCAGTCCAGTCGTACATCAGCCTTATAAAAAGGGGGATTAGTGAGCTTGTTGGTTATTCGGGCGGTTCTGTATCCAAGTTATTAACGAAAGAGAAAGTCGTTGAAGAAAATTGATCAATGTTACTCAGAACGTAATGCATTGTTCAGCTTGACTTTATACTATTAGTTCAAATATTAAGGAAAAGGTTAAAGCTGTATTTCTAAATGCATAGAATTTTCATGCAATTCACCTAAAATCCTGCTCAAAATTATCTTTATTCTACTTAAAATGCCTTTGGAATTATGCTCGGAATTACCGTAAAAATCTTCTCAGAATTAAATTGAAAATACACCCTCTAAATTCGAATCCCATGTCCATATTTTCAGAATTTCATTGAAACTCTCTTCAGAATTCGATTGAAATCATATTTAGAATCACGTTCGAATTCGCCATAAATTTAATTTGGAACTATTTTCAGAATTCAACACCCTAAGATTTTTTTTGGAATCATCATCAGATCACCCTAGAAACTCTTCTCGATATGTTTGAGCTTTTTATTGGCGTAAGATCGTTTTTGTAGTTTTATGGTCCGTTCAAACATTAAGCAAATGTTAAAGCTGTATTTTTAAATGCATAGAATCTATTTCTCCTCAAAATGCCCTTATAATTATGCTCGGAATTACCGTAAAAATCATCTCAGTATTACATTGAAAATACACCCTCAAAGTTCGAATCCCTTGGTCAAATTTTCAGAATTTCACTGGAACTCTCTTCAGAATTCGCTTAAAATCATTTTTAGAATCACCCTTGAATTTGCCATAAATTTAATTTGGAACTTTTTTCAGAATTCAACACCCTCAGATTTTTTTGGAATCATCATCAGATTACTCTAGAAACTCTCGTCAAAACTTATTTATAGTTTTCATTAGATCCCAAACTAAGACTAAGAGACTTAGATTTTTTTTTTGAAGATCTATAGCAAAAGTTATCATTTTTACCAACCCGGGATTTGAAGAAAAAAGAGAAAAGTGAAATCTTGCTCCAGAAATAAAACATTTTCTAGATTCAACGACTTAGAACAAAGTTTCAATTTTAAGACTTGGTACATTGAATCTGCTATTGGCTACAAACTTTAATTCCAGTTTTCCATATGTCATGTTTAAGAGTAGCAACACACAGTTATTAGCTAGGGGAAATGGCTCTAATGTTGACCTATAGATCTAAGATTGGGCCCATCGCTGAAAATCTGCTATTTATCAATTGTATCTAAATGAACGCGTCATTGGGACGGTACTAATGGATACTTTTGGTTGCTATTGAAAATTTAGTCCATTGCTGAATTTATATATGGGTCCAAATTAGGGACACTTCTTAAAGGCTTGTTGGGACTCCGCTTAGCAGTGTCGGTCCTTTGAAATTATGTTTAAGGGGGTATTCCCGATCTTTTTTTTCAAAAAATCAAATTTTTTTTTTCACGTTTTTTTGTACTTTAGACTATATACTTTCATCCCCCCAAGCCGTTTTCCGATCAGCGAATTCGGTGTCCAGGCATAGCTGACTAATGGTAAGAACCCCCAAATGGTTTTAACTAAAGTCAAAACTTTAAACGCGTTTTTCTCGAAACCACATTTTTTTTATCGGGCGAAGATTTTTCTCAGAAACTATAAGAGATATTGACTTGAATCTTTGCGCATTTTGTTCCTTATTAAATTCTTTGGAGCTTCTCCCACTTTCAGCCAAAAATATTAACATTTAACATTGTTTGAAGCACCTTAAAGCTGCAAAAAAGCGGGCTAAAAATCGCCTGTTTTTTTCATATGGCCGCCATTTTGTTAATTTGCAAGATTTTTTGCTGCCAACGGGAGAAGCTCCAGAGAATCTTATGCAGATTATTAATTTCATCACGAAATCTGTTTCAGATGAAGCCGTTCCGAGAAAAGTCTTCGCCCGTCCAGGCGTTTGCGGCGAACAGGGGTCTGTTTGCCGCCATTTTGTGACGTCAATAATGTCTTTTTTTATGTCGAAAATTTTTTATTTGTAAACTTTAATGTTCAATAAACAAGAATCCCAAAGAGTTAGGCGCATTACTATTCATTTTCCTTGAAAAAAATTAATTGAAAAACAGGCCGAAAAAAGGCAAAAGATTGGGAATACCCCCTTAAGGCTGATATTCTTATAAAAGACTGTACTCGAAAAAAGTGAGGCACATTGATTAGATTGTAACCTTTTAGCGTGTGGGTAAAAAAAATGAAATTTCGACCGAAACTAGCTAAGAGTGTAATGTTTACGCTGGCAGAATTTCATCACAATCTGTCATGTGGTTATCGAGATGGCATCGGAGCAAAAGTAGATCCGTTAAAAAAATCTTGTGTCGTGGAAAATCCGACTGCGTTTCACAGATGGATCGGGAAACACCTGGGAATCCATCATTTGACGATTTACCACGTGGTGAAGTCATTCAGACGACCCAGCGGCGGGCAGGCTACGGTAGAATACTGAAGACAGCTGACTCGGTGAAGGCCAGGAACGATGTGCGTTGTGATGGACGACGAGACACAAAGCAGTTGCCGGGGCAGGAGATTTACGTTGCTGCATCACGGTTGGCCGTTCCTTGAAGAAATAACGAAGAAGAAGGTAGACCAATTCCCTAGAAAGCTCTTGGTTTGGTAGGCCATCACTGGTTGTGGCAAAATGAGCCAGCCGTACATCACAACGGGTACCATCAACGGGCAAATCTACCGGGACGAGTGCCTCTAGAAGCGTTTCCTACCCTTCCTGCTGTCCCACAGAGACGAGACGCTGTATTGGCCAGATTTGGCATCCTGCCACTATGCGTGGCTGGTGTTAGACTGGTACAGAGACAACAATGTTTTTTTGTATCAAAAGACGTCAACCCACCGAACTCGCCGGAACTTCACCCGATTGAGAAGTTTTGGGCCATCATGAAGGCCAGACTTCGTAAAACACCTAAGGTTTTGAAGAAACAGTGGTAAAAGTATCAAAAGAAGTCGGCCCCACAAATGGTGTCAAAGGCACGCATTTGGTTATGACAGTTCACCACCAAAACAAAATTACAACTTAATACAACGCCAATCAAGTTAGGGCAAGGAGTCAGCATCTAAATCGGGTTCACTTCAAATAGAAACAAAAACTACATCCCGATTTAACTCTATACTACTTAAAATGTCAAGACAACACTTTTTCAGTTAATATAACACTCTTACATCACCATCAAATCAAAAGACTAACCGTTCTCTTCAATCTCCCGTTTCGCAGGTTTCCCGCCCAAGTGTCTACAGAAGAACGAAGCAGCCCCGAAGGATTCAGCATCATGAGTGACGAACGGTGAAGAATCCCTTTTTGTGAGTCTGTTGTGTTGCCAAATTAAGTTATCCCCCCTCACCCCACGGGTGAAAAGTGAATCAATCAAAAGAGTGCGATATCGTGAAGAATCAACCGTGGTAATCTATTGGTGTTTACCGAGAAAAAAAAATTAAAAAAAAAATGTGTTCAACCAAAGTGAGTTCACCCTCCGCGGCGCGCGGGATGGCTTCGGCGCGGTGGCGTCTCTTCTCGTTTGTGGCCCTGCTGGGCGTCGCGAGTGGAGCCCACTGGGACCACGCGGTCGATTTGGACGAAAACTACCGGCTGCTGTGGAGCATCAACAATCAGGACATTACGTTCGAGGTGCAGGCCCGCACCTTGGGCTACGTCGGTCTGGGCTTCTCCACCGATGGGTCAATCTACGGCGCCGACATCGTGATCGGATGGGTCGACAACGGGCAGGTTCACTTTCAGGTAAGTCGATTTGCTTTAGTCGCGTGACTCGTGCGGTTCCCTTTTTCGGGTGGGAGATAATTATCGGTTTTTAGAAAGTTGCCCGGCTCGCCGGTCGCTTCAGGGGATCCTCCCCCTTGATTGGTTGTTGATGCCTGATGGACCAACAGCCGATCCGACGGGGAGATAATTTAGACGTGAAGATTGCCATCGGAGCAGCGATTTTTCTGTTGTTTTATTTTGTTGGTAGAGCTAATTTAGAATTACCTCCCACTTTTCGAGAGCAGTGCGTGTTCGGCGTGACTTTGAAAACAAAAAAAAAAAGAAATCGAAAGGAGCAGCACTAATTGTCGCGGTCGAGGAACAATGTGCAATGTGGCGCGTCGTTTTGCGCCAAGATGAGCACAGCATGCAGAACGGCGATCATGGAGGAAAAACTAAAAATCTTGGCATAATTCCCTCGTCTGCAGCAAATGAGCCGGAAAAAGTAATTAATTTATTCATAAAAACTTATGATCGCATTGGTTCGGAAAGCAAGGCGCCCGTTTTTCAGTGGAATCAGTGGTTGTAATTTAATTTAATTTGCTCAAATTTCAACAATCTTCTCATGAGTGGAGTCAATTGTCCTTCTCGATTTCACAAACAAAATAAAGCTCAATATTTTCTTTGTTGTTCGGCTCTTAACTCCGAACCGCAAATGATGCGGGGGCGTCTTTGACAAGCCGTACCGCGCTTCCTTGATAGCTGGCATTTTTTAAGGCACCTTTAAGATGCGATTACCAACCCAGTGCAAAGTGCAGTGACAGGGAAACCAGGTGGAGGAGGTGGTGCTGCTGCAACTGGTACAACATGAGAAAATTTATGTCCCGATGCATGTCGCGGCCGCGGTGTGGCGCAGTGTTTGGTTTTGCGATTTGTACATGAAATAAATTAGCATGATGCGTGGAGGGGAGCCGGGTGTCGGGTGGGGGTTGCCTACAGGTAGAAGTCCCTCAAGCGAATGCTTACAAGCGAGCGCGGATGGACACCCACGTGTGAAAAAAAATCGCTGTCGCGCTGGTGTTGGCTGTTGTTTGAAGTGTTGTAGGTTGGATTCGAATCTTGGTCGATGTCGTTGTTGTTGTTTTTCGCAAACAGGCAGGAATTTTCCTTGCCTCGGTGACAACTCTAATAACCGCTGTTGTTGACAATGTAGGAATGAACATTTACGAGGGGGTGGAAAAATCAACACTTGTAGCAAAGTTTGTTCGGAGATACGAAAGATACCGGGTATGATCGATCGGAATTTCCTGGGAAGGGGATTGTCGTTGCATATAGGGTATTTCTCGGGTAACACAGTTCGAAAAAGTAGTATAAATTTCTGTCACTATGATGCACATAAATGGAGCGTCACATATCATACAAATACACATTACAGATCGTGTAAATTTATGAGTCATTTAATGAAATATTCTAAATATTGTATGCAACCATCCATCTTTGTAAGCAATATTTCTTGCAAGTTGCTAGTTTACGTGAAAAGGAAGTTTACATGCTTCAATTTTAGCATGCATGGATATCTACATCATCATTAATATTCATAATTTTTTGGTGTGAAGGGTTGCATTTACTTTTCGGTGAAAAGTGTTGATTCATGTTGGTGCAGGTTTAAGTTTGACGATTATTGTTCAAAAGTCCAACGAATGTTTCAACATTCCAAATGTTTTTATGTTACTTCACACGCAAAGTTTGCGATTTTCAGAGTTAGTTGGAAATGCTATCTAAGCTTTAGTGTGATAATTTATTAGCTAGATAATGGTATTAGAAGAGGGTATGTAGATAGTTCCGTTAGAGTAAGGCAGTATGAAAACTGCCGTACTCTAACGGAACTATCTACCTACCCTGTTCTAAGATCATTCTCTAGCTAATATATTATCAAACTAAAGCTTCGTGTTAGATAGCATTTCCAACCAACTCTGAATGTTTGAAGGTTTCAATACTTAAGATTCAATATTTTGCATACCATGTATTGATGACTCCGTAAATCAACATATTTGTATGTATGTAATTCTACTCGATTCATGGAACTCGAGGTTGAAAGAGCGATATCATATGAAACGGCAGCTAGAAATTAGTTTCTAGATTGCAACTCTGATGGTATCGTCAAATCTTGAATAAGAAGCACAACATCTTATTTACAACTTTGTTGATATACTACTTTGTGTAATTGTGCTTTGATTAGTAAAACTACGATAAAACTAGAGATTATCCGTGGTGGAAAGTTGTTTTCTTGCGTGTAATTTTTCGAGAAATGGGGTTGGTTTTCATTTCATAACCCCTTTTTGCGTGTACAGAGTAGAGAGGGTCGGATTTCATGTTTTACAAACCTGAACTCGACCGAAATAGGACTGATTTCTTTAGTTTAATCCGATCCCGACCCAAACTCAACTTATTTTATCTTGACAAACCCAAACCCATTCCGCATTCGACTGTTTTTATTTCCATGAAAACTCGAATTAAACTTGAACCGGTTTTTTTTTTCAACAATAAGACCCGATTTTTGTAAACTGAGAAAATCATCTGATTTTATGCGCCACGCGTCATTTAGATTTGTTTCTCAAATACGTGTTTTTAGTTAATTACACACAGTCGAAAAACATAGAGCATCATTTGGATACAGCAAAGGATGCGTGATTATTGTTTTAGAAAATATCCTTATAATCAAGAAAACAAAAAATGAAGCGAATTGCTGATGGAGATCTTCAAAAATATATAAAAATGATTAAAACCGAGCGGGAGAAAATAACTAATGAATACCTTATTTTGACCTGATGCCGAAATTTGGTATTGACTAGCATGACATGAGAGGTAAAATACCAAAGAATAAAACCCAAAAATTACAAGCAAAATACTAAGTAACAAAAATTGATACTTGGATACCAGAAGAATACCTGTGTGGTAATGTTTTGGTATTGCACTATCATAATTTGGAATTGGAATAGTATTGTGGGAACATTGTTTTGGTTGATGATTTTTTGGTATTTTACCTCTTATGTCAGGCTCATCCATACCAATTAAAGGTATCGAGATATTCGTTTCTGCTCGAGAAGCCATGCCGGGCGCAAATCCTACATTTTCATTGAACTTAAAGCTTAACCCGACCCCAACCCGATTATTTTGAAGTAGTCCAACCTTCCGAACCAGTTCTGATTCTGTCTTGATCCCGAATTTTACTGAAATTTTGTTTTAAAACTCGCAACTCGACCATCTCTAGCTCCGTACTTGTGAAGAATCAAGCAAACGAGAAATAATGTTAATTTAAAGCTGGTTACTCACAGATTTTGTATATGTGTGCCACCACCCAACTTGAATCCATGAGCCTCCTTTAAGAAGCGCCCATTATTGTAATTTACGTTTCTGAAATTCTTGGATTTTGCCATAATTCTTCGGAACTTCTTTGAAATCCCTGCAATTAATTGAGAAGGGGAGCAACATAAGAGACGGACATACAAGACAAACGGAAACAATGACGTCGATTGCTTACAAATCACGACAACACGCCCATGCAAAATAACTATACTATTTGATAGATCAAACTTCCTCTGCCAGATACTGATGTCGGTTTGCCTTACTGAGTACTAATCCGTGAGAAATCGACGCTGAAGCCATTGTTTACATTTAGCACATAGTCCCTTTTTACATGCTGCCCTAGAATTAACGACACTGCTCTGAAGTTCTCTGATCATTCTACAAGTTTTACATCTCTAAATGGCCTAAACATCTCAAAACTTCTATGAAGTTCTCTGAACCTCCCTGAAGATCTCAGAACTGAAATTTTCGAAAATTAGACAGATTACCGGCTTTGATAATGTTTACCGAACATTCAACAGTTGAACTGTTCGGTAAAAATCGGGCATTTTAATTCATTAGTTTTAAAGCTTCAAACCAAGGAAATCTTTCCCGCACTGACAAGACTCGATTGTTTCAACAAGGCTGACAGCAGTGTTGCCAGAATGTTTTAAAGCTTATCAGTATCAAAGGTTTTAAAAAATCGGTATTTATCGGTATTTACTATTTTAATTAATTTTATTTGCCGTTTTGGAAAGCGAAAATTTTAACTTTTGGACTATGATCGGAAAATTCTGGAAGAAAACTCCGGGGAATGTTTGAATTAGCTTCTGGAGGAAGCTGAAAACAACATCCAAAGAAAGAAGAAGCAAGCTCTCCTGGGAGAAATTTGAGGAAAGTTCTGACAGAAGATGGAAAAACATCCGTGGAACTTCTAAGACATAAATTGAGAAAAATCTGGCGAAAATTTAAAGAAATTTTCAGAAGAAATCGGATTTCAAATTCAAAGGAAGGCAGGCAGGTTTCGGAAATCGGGACACAGGGGAACCCAGAAGAAGCTCAGAAAAACCTTCCAATTGAAGTAAAAAAAAAACGACTGGACAAAATTCTCGAACTAGACGAAAAAAATATCTAGGGGAATTTTAATTGAACTTCCTGATTAAGACGGAAGAAACTTCGTAAGGTAGATTGGGAAAAAAAATCTGGAGGAAATCGGAAGCCAGAGCGCTAACGGAACAGTCGAAAGAAACAAGGACATAATTCCGGAAGAAAAAGAGCTCTTGGGGGTGTTCTAATGATCCAGAACATTTTACAATTGGTCACCCAACATCCCTGAAGACTCCGCAATGCCCCTGAAGTTTTCGAAACATTCCTGAAATGTACTTAGGCACATTACATATTTCCTCGGAATTCCATAAAAGTTCTTGTTACATTCTTAAAGTTGATAGGGCTGTTTTGGAGTACTCTGATCATCTTTGAAATACTTTGAACTTCCCTGATTATAATGGGACTACTGGAATATCTCTATCTCAACTTTGAAGGTCTCTAGACGTTCTTGAAGATTACGAAATTTCTTAAGCGCTATCACGATTTTCTTTAATTTATTGTAACATCAGCATTGAAGTTCTCTGATCTTCCCGATTTTTCTAATTTTTAAAAGTTATTGACACTGCCTTTAATAAGCACGGAACTTC